TTTGATATCTAGAATAAGGGCATTATCATTTCTTGATTTTATATTATTTCTTGGTGAGAAGGAAGAAAAGGTTGACTATCCTCTTTTGACTTTAGCAAAGAGACTTGTTCAGGGCCTATTTGGGGTTTCTTTGCTTTTGTTTACTTTATTTGAACTCGAGTTAGTTAATGATGCCTTATATGGGTTTATGCGTTTTGTTGTTGTTGAAACTGAGTCTTCCTTGTTGTTGAGCTTTTCATTACGTGTCTCGTGATCAGACGTGTTAAGTTTGTTGTTTTGATTCACACTTTCTTTAGAGAAACCTATTTCGTTCTCTAGCGATACTTGTTCATTCCAACTAGGAGTGCTATTATCATTGCCGTCCTGTTGTGCAGAGTCTACAGGAGTTTTAGGGATACTGTTTGTTGTTAAAGTTCCCTCTTTAGAGCAAGAGCCTTTTTTATTGTATGTAGTAAGTTTTTCCATGTTGGAGTAGTCAATATATTTAATTTTCTTTGGTTTGTGGGCTTCAATAGTCGAAGTTTGGCATTTCTTGGAAACAAGGGCAGTTGCCCCTGTTCTGGTACTATTTTTGAAGAAAAGCAAACTCTTTGATAGATTAATTTTGTCTTCTCTAAATTACTCTCAACCCTAAACGCAGGTGGTCAGGAGAGAGAGATCGTCGATCTTTTTTCAAATAATTATTTTAAAAATCTCTCTTAAAGATTTATTATTTATAACCTAAACTACAAATCTGTAAAACAGATTTTTAATATCTTACTTTTTACAAAAGTTATAAGAGATCAAAGTTTGGTAATTTTATTAATAAAGCAAAAATTTGGCACAAAGAAATTAACTAATCATATTTAGTACAAGTTATGTGCTAGCAATTTTATTGGTTAATGCTTATTATTAAAATTAAAAATTTGGTATTTACTATAAAAAAAAAGTTTATATATTTTTTTAATCAATTAAAATTTTTTATATAAAATTAGTCAATCAAAATTAATTAAATAATTGTAAATTTGGCACTTTATATAAAAAAATTGGATGTTTTTTGCTATCCCACACTGTAGCAAAAATATATAAAATTACTTATAAACTTTAAAACAAAGTAATTTTTTTCTTATATATTAATTAACTTTAAATTAAATTTTACAAATAAATATATTAAAAAAAAAAATAAAATGTGTTTTAAGCCAAATTAAAATTTTGTAATTTTGATATAATTTGAAAATATAACTTGGTCAAAAGAAAATATTTAACAGTTTAAAACAATAATTATATATAAAATTATATTTTGAATAACTTTAATTAGAGAGTTAAAAAATGTTATTTTAGTAAAAAAAGTTTTTATATACTAATATCAAAATTTTTAGTATTTTTATATAAACCTTTTTGAAAATAACTAATTTTACCTTGAGTATAAAAAAAAATACAATCCTTAAAGTTAATAAGGTTAGAATTAGGGTTAGAATTAAAGGTATTAAAGATATATTTATATACAAAATTAAATACTGAACAATTTTACTTAATAGATGATTCACCAGTCACCTGATGAATGATCTTAGTGTAATATGATGCAGATCACTATATAAATTATATAAGCAGGAAATGCCAAGATTTTTTGACAATTAATCAAATAAAACTTTTTTTGTACTAAGTTAACAATCAAGATCAATTAATTGAAAGTTATAAAGCTCAATGAGACATATCTAAAGGTAGTAAGATCATCCAAATTGGTTTAGTAGTTATTAAGATATCATCGAAAAATGATTAGTCGACTATATAAAATTACTATATAAACAAACTATTGTTTATATAGTAATTTTATATAAAGTAAAGTAATATATTTTAGCGCATCTAAGCTGTATTGCCAATTGGATTTTTATAAATTAATATTAATTTTTAAAATTTAATAAAATAAAATAACTATTGATTTATTAACTAATTATAAAAAAAAATCAACTTTAAAAAAAAAAAAAAAAAAAAGCTAGTTTCAATCAGTCAATCAACTCTTCTCACTGATTACCTGTACACAAACAAACAGAAAACAAAAGCAGCTAAAACTCAACAAAGGCCATAAAAAACATCTAACAAGGCTTTAAGGAAAAAGAAAAAGCAACAAAAATAACAAATATCAAGCTTAGAAACAAATAAGATTGAACTTGTGGCAAAAAAAATACTCAAGAAAAATGAAATTTTCGAAAAAATTTTTAACAAAAAGTGGACGAGCCACTTGACCTTAAACGCAGATCACTAACAGTAATACAAAAACAAACAAAACAAACAAACAAGACACATAAGCAAAGAAGACAACAAACACATGTAGCAACAGACTATTCTGGAAAAACTAAAATAACAACAAAATACATGCCTCAATCAAAATAGCAATTTCAACATGTAGATCAGTAGAAACTACAAAGAAATTTAGAAAATTCTAGTAGAAATAGAAACTGAAACAACAAAACTAGTTTGGACTGGTTTATTAGTGTATATACATAAGGCATATGGAAAGTCCTTAAATATATAAATGACAATAAGCTAGTAAAAATTCTTCAAACATATGAACCAATAGAACCAAACGACATAGACAACCTAGCCAAAGATTTAGTAGTAAGGAACTCAGACCAGGTCACAGTATATGAAGTACTATTATACGGCCAAGTAAGAGATACTTTGAGAGAAGCAGACCTAGATTTACAAGAAGACTTAGCTAAAAGGTGGGCTGAAAAAGCCAAGCTCACAAGAAGCAACCCAGTATCAATTGAATACATAACAAATATGAGTAGAGAAGAAATACTAAAAGAAAAGAACAAGATAGAGGGAGTAGAAAAAGAGATTTATGCTGAAGCAGATCAAGTAACGGGAACAAGAAAATGAAGACAAGCAGAAGAAGAAAAACTCGGTAGAGACATGAACAAAGTCGTAGAACAAATGCAAGATTTAAAATTTAAAACAAAAATGGAAATCCAATCAGTCATTTCACCTTTATCTAAACCAGACCTCCTAAGAGATACAGAAATTGGAAACAGTAGCACAGATACATCAAGAGGAAAAAAGGTAAAAAAGGACGAAGAAGCTCCGATCGATAGAATACTGGCAGACACTATCAAACAAAAGGAAGTATACAAACAAGAAGAAAAAAAGCAGATGGAAGCTTAGGATATAAATCAAAACTTTTTAATTCATGCTGCACCATTAGAACAAAGCATGTAGTCACCTGAAAATAGAAATTGCGAAGACAATAAGGTCTTTATCGCCAATGTACCATCATACAACCTCTCTGGCAATACAGACAAAGAAAGAGCAGGCTACGTTAAAAGAATACTTGGAGAAAACAAACATATTAGAGGAGTGGAGGAAAGGTTCAAAAGGAGAAACTCCTGGGTAGAAATTAATTTCGATTGTGAGTATAGTAGAAACCTAGCAATCAACAGGATTGAGAAAAAAGATGATGATTAGCTCACACTAATCCCAGAAGAAACAAGAAATACATAACCAAAACAACGGTCCAAAGAAGACAAAAGTAAAGATAGAAGAAGTTTTAACCACAAATGGAAAGAATTTAAAGCCAAAGAGCAAGATAAAGTAGAAGAAGCAACCTCATATAAAGGCAGAAATCATTAAGAGAAGTCTGAACAAATACCAAGAAACTACAATTACAACAGACACATAAACATGGACTGCATTACAATATAGATCTTCCAGTAGATATAAATACAAAAGAAATCAGATATATATATAAAAAGTTAGGCACAATAGACGACATGTATATCAAACGAAGAAATGGCAGAGCATTAGCTGTAATTGAATTTAGCGAAAAATTGGAAGAATACAAATTACTATGGGTCTTATCTGTTGGAGACGGAAGGCTAGCGTATGTCTTGATTGGAAAAGAAGACCATGAAGAAAGAGACAAAAGAAGTAAATTTATAGCAAAATTCTCAGGAATTACAGAAGGCCTTTTAGAAACTCTTTTTCTAAGAAATCTTAGAGATAGAGGTGTGAAAGCAGTATTTATTCCAAAAAGAAGAAATGGTTTTATGAAGCAGGTAGTAAAGGTAACCTTTGCAAATGAATGAGAAATGAAGAAGCGCAAAGAAAGTCAGTCAGATACAACAATCTAAACCTTCACTGGGTACAGCTGAAGACAGGAGAAGGCTCTTGTTCAGAAGAAGCAACCAAGAAGGAATGGAGGCAAGACAGGACCCCAAAGATTTCTGATACAACTTAGACTGAGTTTGTATAATATCAGCCAAATAGATATATAAAATAGGCCAAAATTTAAAAAATTTACTATATAAAAATACAATGTTTGATGAATTTCTACGCAAAATTTCCTTTTTTAGGGTTGTTTAAAGCCTGGCACCTTACAAAATTTCCTGATCATCGATGATCATCGGATAATCACAGGATATACTAGTCAAACTAAAGATTTTTTTAAAACTTTTAGCAAAGGTTCCTTAATAACTACTTGATTAAATTCAATAAATATTTTTTTATTTTAATGCTACAAATATATAGAATTAAAA